CCGGATGTCCAACTTGGTCCTCCCCCACGGAAACTTGAGACCATTGCCCCTTGTTCTGTCATCTGCCATCACTGAGAACAACCGAGCTCCATCCTCTTTGGAACCCCCCTTCAGGTAGTTGAAGGCTATCAAATCCCCCCTCATTCTTCTCTTCTGGAGACCAAACAATCCCAGTTCTCTCAGCCTCTCCTCATAAGTCATGTGCTCCAGACCCCTAATCATTTTTGTTGCCCTCCGCTGGACTCTTTCCAATTTTTCCACATCCTTCTTGTAGTGTGGGGCCCAAAACTGGACACAGTATTCCAGATGAGGCCTCACCAATGTCGAATAACATTGGCCTGGGGGGGTGGGGACGGGAAGGACTTCAGGGGGCTGCCTTAGGAGGTGCTAACCCCCAGCTTCAGGCGGAGAAGGGTGGCTGGGCTGTTGCCTCGCGAGCGTGTCGCCCCTGCGGTCGCTGACGTGGGATCCGCGGCCGTTGCCACGGGCTGTGGCTCTGGAGCACAAACGTGAGTGGGAGCCGGGCCAGCGTGTCGCACCAGCGGTGACGTGTGGTCAGTGTCAGGGCCCACGGACGGTGGGCTGTCGAGCGCAGGGCCAGCGTGTCGCACCAGCGGGGCGTTGGGCGCTCGAGGACAAACGGGAGGGGGACATTGGGCAGTTTTGTTGTACTAGCAGCAAGGCGTCTCGCGTGGTGGCTCCCGTAGGACCTGGGCCGTCCAGCCCAATCGTGAAGGGGCTCTCGAGCCATTGTGTGATCCGTGGCCGCCGGGCCCGGCGCGAGGACGACTTGCGGCCTTGGAAGGAGTGAGCTAGAAAGCAACTCCCGTTGCCACCGCGCTCGTGAGGACAAGTGTGAAAGTGATCTCGGTGTGTGGGGCTGCGTGGCGGTGAGGCGTGATAGATGGCAGCGAGGACAGGTGTGAGGAGGATGTCAGGCCGTCGTGTTCCCTCAGCGTGTGATAGGCGTCCGCTTCCACGGGGCCTGAGTAACTTGGGCTCCCCCGCTCCTGAGCCACGGCCACTGCGGCTGCCTTTCCTTGAGACTGAGGCACCCGCAAGGCATTCCTTGCTCACAATGTATAGAACAAAAGTAAGCTTGAAAGATCGTCAACAACTTTACAAACTGATTATTAGTCAATTGCTGTATGATGGATACATAAACATTGCCAATGGCCTGATAAATGAGATAAAACCACAATCAGTCTGTGCACCCTCTGAACAACTGCTGCATCTGATTAAACTAGGAATGGAGAATGATGACAGCGCAGTTCAATATGCAATTGGACGCTCCGACACAGTAGCTCCAGGAACAGGGATTGACTTAGAATTCGATGCAGATGTCCAGACTATGTCCCCCGAGGCTTCTGAATATGAGACCTGTTACGTCACATCTCATAAAGGACCATGTCGCGTAGCTACATACAGCAGAGACGGGCAGTTAATAGCTACGGGATCTGCTGATGCCTCAATAAAAATTCTTGATACAGAGAGAATGTTGGCAAAAAGTGCTATGCCCATTGAGGTCATGATGAATGAGACAGCACAGCAGAATATGGAAAATCATCCTGTTATTCGGACTCTATATGATCATGTGGATGAGGTTACATGTTTAGCTTTCCATCCAACAGAACAGATCCTGGCATCTGGTTCAAGGGACTATACGCTTAAATTGTTTGACTATTCAAAACCTTCTGCCAAAAGAGCCTTCAAGTATATCCAGGAAGCAGAAATGTTACGCTCCATTTCTTTTCATCCTTCTGGCGACTTCATACTTGTTGGTACCCAGCACCCTACCTTACGGCTTTATGATATCAATACATTCCAGTGTTTTGTGTCTTGCAATCCTCAAGATCAACACACCGACGCTATATGTTCAGTAAACTATAATGCAAGTGCTAACATGTATGTGACAGGAAGCAAGGATGGATGCATCAAATTATGGGATGGTGTTTCAAATCGATGTATCACTACTTTTGAGAAAGCACATGATGGGGCTGAAGTCTGTTCTGCCATCTTTTCCAAAAATTCAAAGTACATCCTGTCAAGTGGAAAAGATTCTGTAGCTAAACTATGGGAGATATCCACAGGTCGAACGCTGGTCAAATATACAGGAGCTGGTTTGAGTGGACGACAAGTACACAGAACACAGGCAGTCTTTAACCACACAGAGGACTATGTGTTACTTCCTGATGAAAGGACCATAAGTCTCTGCTGCTGGGACTCAAGAACTGCAGAACGGCGAAATCTTCTGTCATTGGGGCATAACAGCATTGTTCGGTGTATTGTTCATTCTCCTACCAATCCTGGTTTCATGACATGCAGTGATGACTACAGAGCTCGATTTTGGTACCGAAGGTCAACCACAGACTAAAGACAGTTTTATTAAACAGTGATTACCTAGATGAATTGTACCATCTTATATTAAGTGTACTGCCAACAGATGCCTAAACAAGAGCCATGCTGTGTCTGTATTTAACTTTGTCAAACATGGTGGAAAAAGATGAAAGTACTGGGAAGTAGTTTTCCCTTACTCACTGCCCTTATTAGTGTGTATGGCATCAATTGTGGAAGTAGACTCAACTGTTATTTTTGAATACAATTAATCCTTCCTGCGGGGATAGTTTTAAACTTGCTCTTACATGTCTAAATTTTCAAAATGTTAGTAACTTGAGTGAATCTTGTTCAATCTGTGTAGAATTTCTCCATTACATCTGTGCAAACCTATTAAAGAATTTTTTTTTTTTTTTAAGAATGGATTGCACAAATTCTCAGCAGAACTTGGCCAGATATTTTAATGAACCTTTAAGTTGTATTTCAGTATATGTTGGAGGGAAAGCAGGTACCTATGGGGAGGGAATGTGGAGGGAGAGATTGGGGGTGTGTGTGTGGAAGCAGAGACCTGGACAGTGGGGAAAGCTGCAAGGAGCCAAAGGGACGGGGCAGTTGTGGTGGGAAATTGGTGGTAGACAAATTCAGACTGAAAACAAGGCATAGATTTTTAACAGTGAAAGTAATTAACCATTAGAACAATTTACCAAGGTTCGTGGTGGATTCTCCAGCACTGGCCATTTTTAGAATCAAGACTGCTCTAGGAGTTATTGTGGGGCAGCTCTATGGCCTGTGCTATACAGGTCAGACTAGATGATCACAATGGTCCCTTCTGGCCTGGAAATCTATGATTTTTGAGGGGCTGGGGAGGCAGGGATTGCTTATAATGAAGCCTGGGTTTATCAACTCATCTTCAGCAGATATTGACTCTGAAAGGAAGGAAGGAAAAGTGTGTGTGTGTGCGCGCGCGCGCAGGGAAATGGGGGGGGTGTGCGCGCACGCGCAGGGAAATGGGGGGGGTGTGTGCGCGCGCGCAGGGAAATGGGGGGTGTGTGTGCGCGCGCGCAGGGAAATGGGGGTGTGTGCGCGCGCGCAGGGAAATGGGGGGTGTCTGTCACCCCCATCATCCCAATCTCTGGCCTCCCATACTTCTCCCCACTCTCTACACATCCCCCCTCCCCACCACACTGCTGCAGACAGAAAAATCTCTCTGGCACCCGTTGCTGCTGCTTACAGATATCACAGGCAGCATCTTAACACAGCTCTCTCTCATGTGATGTACAGCTGGGCCTAAGAAGCAACAAGTGCACGACATGCATTCCACTTACAGGGGCGGTGCTGTATCTTATGACCATAGCCCCTCCCTAGCTACCTTGACCCTCCTTCAGTTCCTTTGTACCAAACCCCCCAGAAACGAGACTCCTATGCTGACGGGATGGAGGGTCGGTCATGGAATACACATCAGCATCACATCTCAAAGAACCACAGTTCCAGTAAGTAACTGTTGAGTAAATGCAGATGTGTATTCCACTTAGGTGACTCACAAGCAGTACTCTCCCCAGGAAGTGGGGCTTGGAGTCTACCTAAACAAGGACTGCAGGACCGCTCTATCAAGGCCAGCATCCGCTATGGAAGATGCGGTTATGGCATAATGGTTTGTGAACACATGCATCGACGGCCACATAGCAGCTCTGCAAATGTCCAATATAGAAATGTCATTGAGGAACACTATGGACGTTTCTTGCCCCCTCGTAGAATAAGTTTGTACCCACAGAAGGTGTGTAGCCAAAGCTATTTCATATGCAGTTTTGATGCAAGATGATATCCATTTGGATACTGTCTGTGAAGAGACGGCTTGAACCTTCATGCGATCTGCATATGACAAATAAGGCGAAGCTCAAAATGGTTCAGTCCTGTCCAGATAAGATGCTAGACATCACCTGACATCTAAGGTACGGAGACACTGCTCCTCTGGAGAGGAATGTGACTTAAGAACGAACAATGGCAAATATACTGCCTGGTTCAAATGAAACTGACAACCCACTTTAGACAAAAATTTTGGATGCGGTCATAAGGTCACTTTGTCGTTGGAGAATTGTGTATAAGGAGGCTCTGCCGTAAGAGCCTGCAACTCACACTCTCTCCTTGTAGATGTTATTGCTACCAGGAATGCAGTTTTCTGACACAAAAGCAGAAAGGGACAAGATGCAAAGGGCTCAACTGTAGGTCCCATTAAGGCCACTAGGACTGAGTTAAGGTCCCACAGAAGAACCGACCAGAGGATGTAGACTTGAATCTTGTTACTATGATATTGGAGAAGACTGATTTTCCCTGAACGGGGGAGGGAGGAGGTGAAATGCTGATATCACTGCCAGATGCAGTTTCAGTGAACTAAATGCAAGCCCCAATGAGTGAAGGTGCAGCAGGTAGTCCAAAATGTCCTGGATAGAAGCCAGCATTGATTGGATTCCACAGCTAATGATCACGCCAAAAATGGCTTCCATTTCACTCAATAGGCCATCCTGGTGGAGGGCTTTCTACTGTTAAGAAGGACTTATTGGACAAACACTGCTCTTCTTCATTCAGCCATGCAGCAGCCACTACGTGAGATGCTGGGAGCCAAGTGCAGGACGCGAGGTGAGGCCTTGGTTCTGAGGGAGTTGGGATGGGGAGAAAGCAGTATGGGAGGCTGAACAGACAGTACAAGAAGGTTGGAGAACCAGCACTGTCTTGGCCAGGGCAAAGAGAATGAAACTGGCCCGATTCGCCCTGAGCCGGAGGATGACCTGAAGGATGACTAGGATCAGGGGAAAGACACAGAGGAGAGCTGACTGCCAGCTGAGGTGGAAAGCCCTGGACAGGGAGCCGGGACTGACGCCGCCTTGAGAGCCCTAAAGACAAAATTTTCTGTTGTACCTTGAAGAAAACAGGTTGATCATCGGGATGCCCCAAGCTATGAAGATGACCTGGGGGACATTTTGTCTTTAGAGACCACTTGCAACTCAGGAAAACAGCGTCTGAGATGGTCTGCAAGAAGATTCTGAACCCTGAGTAAGCGAATGGCTACTGGAGTAATGTTCTCCTTGATGCACAACTGCCACAGCTTGATCTTCTCTAGGCAGAGCAACCTGGAGTGTGTTCCCCCTTGTTTGTACACATACTACATCATGGTGATATTGTCAGTAGGTACGTGAACTACTGAGACTCTGATACTGTCCCAAAAAGTGTGACATGCATTAGAAATGGCCTGAAGTTCCAGCACATTTATATGGAGTGAGGCCACCTGCTCTGATCACAGTCTCTGCGCTTTCAGTGACCCCAGGTGTGCACTCCAAAACATCAAGGAGGCGTTGGTAACAATCAACTTGGTTGGTGAGGTCTGGACAAAGGGAACGCCTTGTCAAATGTTCTCTGGACGCATCCACCACTGCCAGGAGTCCAGAACCAGTGGAGGAAAAGGAACAAGTCTCTCTAGAGCGCGAAGAATAGGATGGTAAACCATCCTGAGCCACATTTGAAGGGAGTGAGGCACAATGTTGCAAACTGGACCACCTGCATGCAAGCAGACATGTTGCCAAAGAGCCTCAAACATGTCCAAACTGTCACGGGAGGCTGACACACTAGATAAAGGCAAAAGTGGCGAATTGTCTGGAAATGGCTGGTCAGCAAAAATACTTTGGACGTCATGGAATCTAACAGGGCCCCAATGAACTTGATTTTTTGAGCGAGAGCCAAGGTTGACTTCCCGGTGTTTAGAATGAGACCCAGACAGTTGAGCAAGCGCACTGTGGTGCCTATGTGAGCAAGAACTTCCTCTCTGGTTCTGCCCTTCAGTAACCAGTCATCCAGATATGACTGTGAATTGTCTTCTTTGTGAGATATGCCATAACAATGACCACACATTTGTTAAAAATTGAGGGGGGTGGGAAACGGAGGCAGAAAAGAGGCCGAATGGAAGCACTGTGCACTGCAAGTGGCGTTCTGCCATGATGAACTGAAGGAATTTTCTGTGGCTTGGCAGAATCGCCATATGAAAGTAGGCATCCTGAAGGTCCAGAGCAGCAAACCAGTCATTCTGAGACAACGCAGGGAGAATAGTTGACAGTCACCATTTGGAACTTCATATACATGATATATTTGTTGAGGCCAAGAAGGTCAAGGATGGGTCGTATGCCTTTCTTGGATTTGGGTACCAGAAAGTATCAGGAGTAGAAGCTGAGACCCTGCTGTTCCAGCAGAAACTCTTCCACCCCTCCCAAAGCCAGCAGAGAGCAGACCTGCTCAAGGAGAGGGGTTCCTGAAGAGGGATGGGGAGGAGGTGGGGAGAGGAATTGGATGGCATAATCCAATCTGATGATGTTTAGGACCCAGCTGTCAGTTGTGATCGATCCCCAAGCATTGTGAAAGCAGGCCAGCCTGTCCCCAAAGGGGGAGATGAGGACAGAGGAGCAACGACTGGAACAGTGCTCTGGACTGAGTGAAAATGGTTGCTTGGAGGACTTTGGGGGAGGGTGGCTGGACTGGCTGACCCCCAAGCCCGATTGTTTTCTTTGTGAGGGCTATCCCTTTTTCTAGGGTAGTTCTGTTGCCTCAGAGGAGAGAGAGGCAGGCCAAACATGCACTGCGGACGATACTACTGCTGCTGCTGAAGACCGCAGTGGCGCTTCTGCACCGCTGGTATGCACAGCCCCAAGGACTGTAGGGTAGCACTGGAGTAATCGGGTTTGTTTGCTCCTCTACAGAGCCAAAATGCACAACTTATCACTTTAACTGGAGTTAACAATCACTTTGCTTCAAACAGCACAGTTTGGTTTAGATTAAAAGTAAAACAAGTTTATTAACAAAAGGAGATAGGATTGTAATAAACAATTAGGAATAAAGTTAGAAGGGTTTACAAACAAATAAAAGTAAAAATATGTTTTCTAGTGACTAAGACTGAAGAAAACTACAGTCTTGGTTCAAAGTAAGATTCTTACTACTTTCTTCCAGCAAGATGGCTGACCACCCCTTAGTCATGATCTCCCACAAAGTCCAAAGTACTTGGTTCCTTTGTTTTCTTAGGTGAAAGATAACTTGGGGTTCCTTGTCCTGTCTTTTATAGTCCAGTGAACCTTTGAAATGGATTCTTCTGAAGGTTATCCCGTGATGGGCTCCACTCACCACATGAGTGCCTCTTCCTGGCCAGGTGTTGCATAGCAGCTTCCTTCCCATATGGTGCACCCTGCCAATGGTCACTCCATCGCTACAGTGGTCTCTTCCTGTAATTCACAGTGCTCTCTCTTTGCAACTCACTCCTCCAGCTAGGTCATTATATAGTCCTCCCTTTCGGGGTATCATTTGGACCACCTCTCCGGACAGCACCTCCAACAGTCCTTTGCTATTTGCCAGTGCTGGTACGGGAATCCAGGCCCTCTCTCTACACAGGGTTCCAACCCAGGGATTGGTAACCAGCCGCTAAGGTGTACTTATTGCTGTTTTCCTGGGATTCTTCCTATCCTGCCTTCACAGGGTTTCTTTCCTCAGAACTCCTCTGGGATTGACAATTCTTCCAGGGCGAGGACCCCAAGGCTCATTCTCCCCGAAGGTTTTCCCCTTCCTACCTCTGTGCCCAAAGAGTGGCTGTAGACAATCTCTCTGTAGCCCTCTACTATTAAAAAGGTCCTCTCTTCATCTGCAACTAGTGTGTATAAATCCCTTGGCCTCCCTTCAGATGCAACTATAAAGGTTAATTGGCCCCTTCAGGGCTAGTGTGGGATGAACACACCTCACAAAGTAAAGTTCATTCAAGCTGTGAGGAAGAAGACATGGAGTCTGGTGGTGAAGTTAAGTTCCATGCTGGTTGCTTCCCTTCTGGTGTTTGCTATAATGCAAATTTAACTGTTCCTGCACCCTCCAATACAAATGAATGGACATGTGACATACGATTGCCAATCGACTCTGATGACACCTGGCTGGAGGCATCGGCTTGTCGTTTGTCTAGAAGAAACCTGCAACACCTTACGGGGCACAAGTGATAGACACTCTACATCAGCAATACTCAAACTTCATTGCAACACGACCCCCTTCTGATAACAAAAATTACGACATGACCCCAGGAGGGGGGACCGAAGCCTGAGCCCGCCCGAGCCCCGCTGCCCCAGGTGGGAGTCCAAAGACAAAGCCCAAGCCCTGTCAAACCAGGCAGGAGGGCCAAAGCCCAGTGGAGCTCAGGCTTCGGCCCTGGACAGTGGGGCTTGGGCTTTGACTTCAGCCTTGGGTGGTGGGGCTCAGGCTTCAGCCCTGGGCCCCTGCAAGTCAAAGCCAGCCCTGGAAACCCCATTAAAACGGGGTCCTCACCCACAGTTTAGGAACCGCTGCTCTACACGCACGACAGAGTCATTCCCAAGTAGTGGAAGTAACCTGTCCCCTCTCACACATAATGCCATAGCCAGGGCCGACCTTAGGGAAAATGGTGCCCAGGCAAACTTTCTTTGGCACCCTTTAAGTACTGCTCCCCAAGCAGCTGCACAGCAGGCAGCGTGGCAGCTGGTGGAGCGGCGGTGGCGCTGCAGGTATCGCTGCCAGCGGGAGGGCAGCTAGGGGATGCGTGTGAGCAGCTAGCTCCCGCCCTGCCGCCCCCTTTATTGCCTCCTCGGTGGGCACAGTCCTTCTGCAGCCTCTTGACCACGATGCCCTGGGCAGTCGCCTATCTTGCCCACCCATAAGGTCAGCCCTGGCCACAGCAGGAGCCCAATGCCAACATATTGCATCACACACACACACACACACACACACACACACACACACACACACACACAATAACATAAGAACGGCCATACTGGGTCAGACCAAAGATCCATCTAGCCCAGTATCCTGTCTTCTGACAAAAGCAACAGAGGGTCCTGTGGCACCTTTGAGACTAACAGAAGTACTGGGAGCATAAGCTTTCGTGGGTAAGAACCTCACTTCTTCAGAGGCACTGTCTTCTGACAGTGGCCAGTGCCAGGTGCCCCAGAGGGAATAAACAGAACAGGGAATCATTAAGTGATCCAGCCCATCGTTCATTCCCAGCTTCTGGCAAACAGAGGCTAGGCATACCATTCCCACTGGTCCTGGCTAATAGCCATGGATGGGCCTATCCTCCATGAATTTATCTAGTTCTTTTTTGAACCCTGTTATGGTCTTGGCCTTCACAACATCCTCTGCTAAGGAGTTCCACAGGTTGACTGTGCGTTGTGTGAAGAAATACTTCCTTTTGCTTGTTTTAAACCTGCTGACTATTAATTTCATTTGGTGACTCCTAGTTCTTGTGTGATAAGAAGTAGTAAACAACACTTCCTTATCTACTTTCTCTACACCAGTCATGATTTTATAGACCTCGATCATATCTCCCCTTAGCTGTCTCTTTTCCTATCTGAAAAGTCCCAGTCTTATTAATCTCTCCTCATACGGAAGTCATTCCATACCCCTAATAATTTTTGTTGCCCTTTTCTGAACCTTTTCCAAGTCCAATATATCTTTTTTGAGATGGGGCGACCACATCTGTACACAGTATTCAAGATGTGGGCGTACCATGGATTTATATAGAGGCAACATGATATTTTCTGTTCTATTATTATCTATCCCTTTCTTAATTATTCCCAGCATTCTGTTTGCTTTTTTGACTGACGCTGCACATTGAGTGGATGTTTTCAGAGAACTATCCACAATGACTCCAAGATCTCTTTCTTGAGTGCTAACAGACAATTTAGACCCCATCATTTTATATGTATAGTTGGGATTATGCTTTCCAATGTGCATTACTTTGCATTTATCAACATTAAATTTCATCTGCCATTTTGTTGCCCAGTCGCCCAGTTTTGAGAGATCCTTTTGTAGCTCTTCGCAGTCTGCCTATGGAACTATGGAATTCATTGTAGGTGAAAATAGGCACAGAATAAGCGGGGAGAATTTGTGCATGCATCACAATTAGGATGTGAAGAATATCAAAATGAAACAAACCCCCAGAGCTGCCATTTATACAGAGCTTCTCTAAAAGGGATGTGGAGCAGACTGTGGAAAGCTGAGGGCAATCATGAAAACAGATTTCGTGTAAAGTAAATATGTCTCTGCCTCCCACAAATGAAAAATAATTTCAGCCAGCTATTTTGTAGTATGATAAAGACTGACAAAGGCACAGGATTTTGAAGAACCTCCAGCTGGAGCCACCCCCAGTGAAACTGCTCACTGTGAAATAGAAGAAAAGGTCCTGAATTGTGTCCCTGCAGACTGGAGTTTCACTTAGAAAGTTAGTAAAGTGACGTCACTATTAGACTCTCAGAACTAGATCACACCGACTATCCCACTTACTTGTTTGAGTGCCTTCTTGCTGTGCTTCTGGGATGGCGAGATGACTTTACCCCCTGGGATGGAAGGAGACGGGCAGCCTGACGGCGGGGAGCATGTCTGTGACAGTCTAGAGGGCACTAGGGAAATAAAAAGAGAAAAACAATTCAGAAATAATTATATAGCCTGTGGGGAAAACAATCCACCCCTTACATGCCCTCAGGGCAGCAGTCACTCTTTCCCATGCTCAGAGACCAATCCCAACATCGTCCCCCCTGTGTCTGTGAGCGCTGCACAGCTAGGAGATGTTACCTTTCATCTGGGGGATTGTTTCCCGTTTATTTCTCCAGGAAAGTGCAGGGCAGCAATTGTCAAACTGGCAGTTGATTAAGAGGTTTCTGTTTTACTCCATCTCCCCAGCCGGGGTAGCAAAGGCACTTGGAGGGTGAGTGACTAGGGTACCTACCAAGTCAGTGTCTGGCCGCAGCCTCCCTTCTTCCCAGAGTCTTGGCTCTGAACACTGGACTACACAGCCTCAGTTAATTGCATCTTTTCACTCTTGACATTGTGGTTCCCACCCTAGTGCTACACATATCAGTCCTCACCCCTCAGGGTTTTGTGACTGATACTTCTGACTTCCTCTCACTACCTGCTGGCCCAGTTCTACTCTCGTTCTTTTTGCTGAACTGTCAGCATCTTTTGTCAGATGCTGTCTGCATCTGAAGAAGTGAGGTTCTTACCCACGAAAGCTTATGCTCCCAATACTTCTGTTAGTCTCAAAGGTGCCACAGGACCCTCTGTTGCTTTTTGCTGATATACACTAACACAGCTACCACTAAAGAAACTAAGTAGTCATGGATGAGAGGCAAAGTATTGTCATGGATCAAAAACTGGCTAGGAGACAGAAAGCAACAAGTAGGACGAAATGGTCCATTTTCATAATGGCAGAAGATTACAGGGGATTCTTCAAGGTTCCATACTAGGTCTGGTGTTGTTACTAAAGTTATTAATGACTTGGAAAGGAGGCGAGTAATGAGGTAGCAAAAGCTGTAGATGACACAAAGTTAGTCAGGACTAGAGAGGACTGTGAGGAACTTCAGACAGACCTCGCCAAGACAGGAGAACAGGCAACATGATGGCAAACGAAATTAAATCTTGTTAAATGCACAGTAATGCACTTGGGGGGGGGGGAGGAGGAGAAGGGGATGCCGACATGGAGTTTATGGAAGCTGTACTGCCATCTTGATATGAAAAGCCAGTCTCACTGGATGAGGGACTCAAAGTGTCCACAGACTTCACCTCTTATTAAAGATGAGGACAGCTGTAAATTTGGTACATTCCTCAGTCTGCCAGCAAGTTGAAAGTATAGCCCTTGGTTAGGTAACCTCTGGGTCCCAGACCTGGTATAAAAGACTGGATTCTTGCTTACAACTCTTGTACATAAACACAGGTTCACACACAGACTCAGAAACAGAGTTGGCTGCTATTCGCTTTGAGACATTTGAATAGCAGGAACATAAACCACATCCTCTCTGAAACCAATCAAGACAGAAACGACTAGTTTTGTGTGCAGCAGAATAGCTAAAACCACTAGAGGCAACTGCTTTGCCTCACTTTAATTTCTCACAGTCCTATGAAGCACATTGTGAATTACAAACTACAAGTCAAACTCTTTGTTCCTTTAAACTAGCAAAAGCCATACATGCCGGGAAGTGGATTTTCATCTCAGAGTCGAGTGACTGCCTTTTGCGTTGTTTTAATGCTGACATTCTCTGTGCAATGGGGACTGCTGTGCCCATACTAACAGCTGTAACCACAATGAATTCTGCAGAGTAAACAGAAGAGTTAAAAAAAAGTTGGCATGGTCACAGTTGTTTAATTTAGCTACTGGCTCCCCAAGTGATGGGTATCTAATTGTGAGCATAAATGGCTCTCTGAACACACAGTACAGACATGCATGGGTATAAGTCTTTAAACCACGATTTGAGGACTTCAGTGGCTCAGATACAGGTGAGGGGTTTGTTACAGGAGTGGGTGGGTGAGATTCTGTGGCCTGCGTTGTGCAGGAGGTCGGACTAGACGATCATAATGGTCCCTTCTGACCTTAAAGTCTATGAGTCTATAATAAAAAGATACACGCACGCATACAGAAGTTTAAACCGACAAATGAGTTTAGAGGGCACGCATCTGCTGTGGGAGTTCTCATTCCTGTAAGTACAAGGCTCTAGAAGCTGAGCTTGTTTCCTGTAGATTTCCGTAGCTCAGCTAAAACTTGAGTGAATCTAAAGAGAATATAAACGCAGTGTGGTTTGTCTTCTTAAAAATGCTCTACTTTCACTGGGTAACTTGCAAGAGTTAGTTAGCATTAGTGTTACATTTTATACATTTTAAACATGATCCTGTGTGGGGCAGGGAAATTGTGCTTCCTGATGCTACTAGATTCCTGGAGCACTTGGAGTTAGTGTTACAAAAACAAACAATCACAAGCTCTGGAATTATATTATAAAAGTGATGGATGTAACTCGAAAGTCCTCAGGTGGAGTTGCCATCTGATTTTAAAACGTTAATGACTTGGTTTGCACTACAGTAAAACCTCAGAGTTACAAACACCCGAGTTCTTCTTCGAGTGATTGCTCATGTGGGGGAGGGCTAGCTCAGTGGTTTGAGCATTGGCCTGCTAAACCCAGGGTTGTGAGTTCAATCCTTGAGGGGCCACTTGGGGATCTGGGGCAAAATCAGTACTTGGTCCTGCTAGTGAAGGCAGGGGGCTGAACTCGATGACCTTTCAAGGTCCCTTCCAGTTCTAGGAGATGGGATATCTCCATTAATTTCTTCATTTCTTCATGTGCATTCCAATAGGTGTGTGCGCGCACCGTGTGCACGATCGTCGGAAGGTTTTCCCCTAGCGGTACCCGTCGGGTTGGCTGTGGAGACCCCTGGAGTGGCGCCTTCATGGTGGTGTATATAGGTCCCCACCTGCTCAGTTCCTTCTTACCACCAGTGACGGTCATTAGAGCAGCTCAGTCTCTTTCATTCGCAAGTGCCTATCTAGTGGTTCCCTTTTCTTAGTTTTAAATAGTTATTAGTTTGTTATATAGTATTTTGTAGTTAGTTGGGCTGACTTTGGGGGGCTTCCCCCCGCCCTAGTTTCCCCAGGCACCGGGGCATGCCTCGGTCGCAGAGGTTTAAGGTGTGCAAGAGGTGTGCGAAACCTTTGCTCACAGGTAATCCACACGCTGCTTGTCTCAAGTGCTTAGGAGAAGGCCAGACAGACAAGTAACCAATTTGCAGGAGCTTTAGACCCAGGACTAAGAGAAAGTGGGACTCCTCCTGATGGAGTCGGCCCTCCGCCCTCAGCCAGCACCAGAAACAGCACCAGCATCATTGGTGTGCAGCGCCCCGGCCTCGGGGTGGGACGTCTCGGCACAGAGAAAGGACTCCTCAAAGGAGCACCGGTGCCGCTCCCCGTCTCATAAGGCTAGTGTTACCAGGTGGCATCACTCACAGTCCCCAGTGCCACATAAGAAGTCACGGGATGCTAAGAAGCTGGAACTTTTTGGCTGAAAGGTCTACTCAACCGTAGGGCTCCAGCTTCAAGTGGCCAACCAGCCAGCAGTACTCAGCTGCTATGCTTTCAATTTTTGAAGCTCGTTGGCAAAATTCCAGGAGTTGCTCCCAGCTGACTCGTGCAAGGAGTTTAGAGCACTCCTTGAGGAGGGAGGGTGGTCTCGAGAACCTCTCTCCAGGCCGCGTTAGACGCGGCGGACTCGGACCATGGCCACCGCCATTACAGTGAGGTGCAGTGCGTGGCTGCAGGTGTCGGGGATACCACCTGAGGTCCAGAACACGATTCAGGACCTCCCTTTAGACTGTGCAGGCCTGTTTGCCCAAAATATGGACTCTTGCCTGCACAGCCTTAAGGACTTACAGGTGACTTTGAAGTCTTTGGGGATCCACACCCCTGCACCCAAAAGAAAGCCTTTTAAGCTTCAGCCCTATCCCGTTTCTACTCTGGACCTCCCAGGCGAGACTCATCCAGGAGACGGGGCAGAAATAATAGAAGGCGCCCGCCACAGTCCTCCTCAGGCCAAGGCCGGGGTTCGTCCAAAGAGCCCCCGGGCCTGAAGCCAAACTTTTGAAGATGTGCCCGAGGACGGAGCATCAGTATCGAGCTTGGATCCTTACCCCCGCTTTGTGAATCGACTCTCCCGCTTCTACCGTGCTTGGTCCCAGATCACGTCAGATCGCTGGACTGAGCCCAGCAGGGGTGGGATATTCTATCCAATACTGTTCCCTACTGCCCTCCCACCCCCCTTTCCCCTTCAGGGGCCCTTCTCACGAACAACTCCTTTTGCAGGAGGTGCAATCGCTCCTCGTTCTAGGGGCAATAGAGGAGGTTCCTCAGGAGTTCAGGGGCAAGGGGTTCTACTCCTGCTATTTCCTCATCTCCATAAGAATGGCCATACTGGGTCAGACCAAATGTTCATCCAGCCCAGTATACTGTCTACCAACAGTGGCCAATGCCAGGTGCCCCAGAGGAGTGAAACTAACAGGTAATGATTAAGTGATCTCTCTCCTGCCGTCCATCTCCACCTTCTGACAAACAGAGGCTAGGGACACCATTCCCACAGAGGCTAGGGACACCATTCCAAGCGTGGGCTCCGGCCTATCCTGGATCTGCGAGACCTCAACACATTCATAATTGAAGTGAAGTTTTGCATGATCTCTCTGGCCTTCATCATTCCTTCCCTGGATCCGGGGGACTGGTACGCTGCCCTCGACTTGAAAGATACGTACTTCCATATATCCATTATCCCAGCCCACAGACTTTTTCTTTGCTTTGTGGTCAGCAGCCAGCACTACCAGTTCAGGGTGCTCCCGTTTGGCCTCTCGGCGGCCCCACGGGTATTCACTAAGTGTATAGTGGTCGTGGCAGCCTTCCTCCGCAAACGTCAGGTGCAAGCGTTCCCGTACCTGGATGACTGGCTCATCAAGGCTGAGTCGCAACCACAGGCTGCAGAGCATGCGTCTGGCCCGGGCCATATTCCACAGGCTGGGCCTCATATTGAATGTGCCCAAATCCACATTGGCCCCAGTGCAGAGAATAGACTTCATAGGAGCTCTCTTGGACTCCACGCAG